TGGAGGACAAAGATGAGGCAAGGGGTGAGAGAGGAACTCCCAAGAACCACCTCGGTTTATGTGGTTTAGTGGCTAAGTCATCTCTGACTCTTGGTGACACCATGGACTGTAGCCTGCCAGGCTCCTCTGTCCATGGGATTTCCCAGGCAAGAATATTGGAGTAGGTTGCCATTTCCTCCTCCAGGGGATGTTCCCCACCCAGGGATTGAACCAGGGTCTCCTGCATTGCAGGTGAATTTTTTTTACCAAGAATTTACCAAGAATCACCTTGAACTGGAGCTATTCACTTCAGGATTACAGAGTGTTCCACAATGTAGTAAAATTTGTAGCTGCTTCCATTTGAGAGCACCTCCCACACGGCTGGCATTTTGCTAAGCCCTTAACTTTATCTCTTTGAAGACAGGAGGACACTGTGGCTAAGAGTTCCAACACAATCAGACTGAACCGGCTGCCACTCCAGTACAGCGGGAGTTGTGTGGCCTTGGGCAAGTTTCTCAACCTCTCTGAGCTGAAGTTTCCTCATCTGATGCCTCTGACCCCAAACTGCAGTATTACACCGTCCCCTGGGGCCATCTTCACTGCCTGGGCCTGGCAGGAGGGAGCCAAGAGGATCAAACAGGAATATTTTTCAGGTCAGGCTCCACAATCCCAGACAGAAGCCTCCAGACAAGGGTATGATCTTGGCTGAGGATACTAGACTGGCCTGAAGTCCCCCAGCCCCGTGAACAGGGGAGGGGAGGCCCCTCAATTAGAAACAGAACTGGGATCTATCACAGACCTTAGGGGGGTTCCCAGGTGGCTCAGTGGTAAAGAATCTGCCTGCCAATGCAGGACACATAGATGATGTGGGTTCAGTCCCTGGTTCGAGATGATTCCCCTGGAGGAGGAAATGGCAACCCACACCAGTATTCTTGCCTGGAAAATCCCAGGGACAGAGGAGCCTGGCGGGCTACAGTCCATGAGGTCACAAAGAGTCAGACACGACTGAACACGCACACAGGCCTGGGGACTCCTGGTCCAGTGCTCCCTCAACAATAGGCCCTCAGAGAATCTGCTTTTGACATACAGACCCTGGGTGACTAGGTTTTTCCTCTTTTCTCTACCCCAGAATATCCAGAATAAGTAAATCCATAGAGTCAGAAGGCAGATAGGTGGTTGCCCGGGCTGGAGAAAGGCAGGAATGGGTATGGGACTTCCTTTTGGGTTGATGATGTTTGGAACTATTGTAGATGGAGGTGGCAGTTGTATACATTGGGAAGGTACTAGGTGCCACTGAATTGTTCTCTTTAAAATGGTTGATCCTATGTTAGGTGAATTTCACCTCAATTAAAAATAAGGGTGCCTGGGCTTCCCTGGTGGTCCAGTAGTTGAGAATCCATCTGCCAATGCAGGGGAAAGGAGTTCGATTCCTGCTCCGGGAAGATTCCACATGCCCAGGGGCAACTAAGCCCATACACCACAACTACTGAGCTCATACACCTAACGCCCATGCTCTGCAACAAGAGAAGCCGCCACAGCGAGAAGCCTGTGCGCCGTAACTGGCAAGCAGCCCCATTTGCTGCAACTAAGGAAAGCCCTCGTGAAGCAACGAAGACCCATTGCAGCTAAAAGTAAAACTAATTAGTTAACTTTTTAAAAAGGGTGAATTCTGGGGAATTCTGCAGTGGTCCAGTGGTTAGGACTCTGCACTTTCACTGCTAAGAGTGCGGGTTCGATCCCTGGTCAGGGAACTAAGATTCTGCAAGCCACTAAGGCACAGGCAATAAATAAATACAATACATTTTAAAACCATAAGGGTTCCTATAGGTAAGAGATTACAGGAAGACACGCAAGTGCCAAGGGGGGAAGGGAAGGTGAAGGAGGGCCTGAGGTGTGAGGGAGGGAGAAGGATGTTGGAGAGTTGCAGAAACAGGGACATTTGCAGTGGGGGAAAGGCTTGAGGGAGGGGGCTTTCCTAGGCTGCCGGGGAGGGTGGCCTGGAGGATGTAGTTGGTTGAGGAAGCAGAGCTGGATCCTATAAACTTGGGAGCCACTGCCCTTTAGAGGAAGGAGGGAGAACCAGGAGAGGGAGTGGGGCAGGCGCTTTGAGCGTTTGCTTCTTCTCAGACTTTAGACTGGAAGCTCCTGGGGGTGGGGGCAGGGACCTCATCTTCGCTGTTTTTAATTTTCTGAGCAGAACGTCATCAAGGTAGGCAATTCCTTTAGAAACCCGGACACCAATGGAATGAAATCAAACACGTTAAGCAACAGGAAGATCACCCACCGCCCGCCCACACCCTCACCGGGGAAGTGAGGCTGGCACTGGGCTGAGTGTGGGTGCCACCTCCGAGCAGCAGGGGGCTGCCGAGACTTCCCAGGGCCAAGAGGCTACCCCTCACCCCTGGCAGGCCCCAGAGCCCCCAGCGGGCAGCACCCACCGAGGGTCTGGGATGGGAGAAGGGGCTGGCTGAGCACCTTGGGCTCCTTTGTCAGACCCAGGAAGGAGAGTGGGGGCAAATCCAGGAAGCAGGGGGGGTGAGGAGCTCCCTCCGGAATCCATCCCCCCACTTCCCTCCCCTCCGGCTTTGCACCGCTCTGCACATGCTCTGTGTGCCCTTGAATTGGGTTGGCTGGGGGAGGGCATTTACTGGCACCCCCACTTAAAGGGCCAGTGCCATCCTTGCCCGTGCCCAATGGGGCAATGGGACCTGGCCACCCTCTTCACTCACACTGAATGACTGACTTCACCTTGACCCCCATCCCCCTTTCCTGGCAAGCTCCTCCCGCCCTGTCACCTCTTATTCCCTGACCCCACCGCAGGCAGGGACTGTCCATTGGACACAAGGGTGTCCACCTTGGGTGGGGAAGAAAGAAGGATCCTAGACTAGGGTATGCAGTTTCTCCTGGGAGCTACCTGCTCCTCTGGGCCTCCCTCCCCCAGCCCAGGAGACAGAGAAGGTCCTGGAAAGCAAATGAGCTGGAGGGAATGAGGCCTGGGCATCTGCTCTGGAAAGGCCAGGGGAGGAGAGGAGTGTCCAGGCCCAGCTTGACCAGCAAACAGGGTGATGGGAGCTATAGCCTGGAGCTTCCTCACCGAAGTGGGCTCCTGGGAGAGGGAAAAGCAGGGAGGCAAAAAGAGCTGGCTCCACCCAGTGCTGAGGGTTAGGGACACTGAGGTCGGGGACCCAGATGGAGGTAGGGAGCGATACTGACTCTTCACTGATCCTCCTCAGCCCCTCCTGACACTCTCCCAGCTCACACCCTTCTGTTTTTCTTTTTTTCTGTTTTCTTGCCCAGTCCTGGGTCCCACTAGCCTTGGAAAAATTATCCCACCTCAGTGTGACCCTGACCCAGGCCCTTCAACCATTGTGTGTGTGCATGTGTGTGTTGGCATTATGGCAGCTTTTCGGTCTTCAGGCTCCTCAGCTCCTTGGCCGAGAAAGGCCAAACTCTTCACCTGTCCCCTCCCCCACATGCAACTTCTGCCTGCTCTGGGACACGCTGGCCCAAGCTGCCTCCTGGACACACCCCCAGCACCCTCTCCCTCGACACTGCACCCACACCCCTCCCCCTACACTCTCACAGCCCTCTGGAATCTTCTCTCCCCTCCTAGTTACTTTTACACACATACACTCACACACACAGAGGCCTCCCGGTGGGTAAACAACTCTGTCCTGGCCCTGGCCCTCCCCTTTCCCTCTGGCTCCACGCTGAGGAATGCAGCTGCTGGGAGGCTGCCTGCGCCCTGCCCAGGGGCCTTCAGGTCCCTGGCTAGCACCCCCACAGGGGAAGGCCAGCCTAGGGCCAGCTTTCCTGGAACCCAAAAGCGGCTTCCTCTCTGAGCCTAGGGCTTTCCGTCTGCAAAGTGCAAACGATCATTCCTCCAGCCCTTTCCTGACAGAGCTGTCTGGGATCAGAGGGGAGAGGGCTGACTCTCAGCCGGGGCTGGGTCAGGGGAGACCCCAAAGATGGGAGATTCTGCCCTCATAAAAACCCATCCTTTCCTAGAATCTGTTCTGGCCTTGCTTCTGGAAGGCGCTGGCGAGGCCTGGGTGTGGCAGGGTAGAAATGAAAGTTATCCTGGCAACACATGGGGTTTGTCAACATTTCCATCCCAGCAGCTCCCAGGCCTGAGCCTGTCTCTCCCCCAACGTGGCCTGTCAAGATGAGTTTTCCTGAAACGGAGGTTAGGCTGGGCCAGCCAGGCTTCCACCGCTCCCTGATCACAGCGGCAGAGCCAACACACGCTGGTTGACTAACTTCCCCTACACCACCGCAGCCTGACACTCTGCAGCCACAAGAACAAGAGACGAGGTGCCTGGGGAAGGGTGGGTCTGAGTGTGAGGGGGTGTGTGAGCTCGCTTCAGAGCCCACACTGCTGGTGTGTTGGTGGCATATCCAGGATGACTCAGCTCTCTATTAGACAAGACAGGTGAGGGGCTCACCTCCGAAGGAATTAACCACACAGGTGATTAGGCTAAAAGGAGTAGGGATGCACAGGTGCACAGCAGGCCTCCAGCTCTGCTAAGGATCAATCCCCTGTCCAACCGGCCTTGGGGTTATTTTCCATCAGCTGAGAGACGTGGGGGGCAGTTAGGGAGACTGTTAAGGACAAGGAGACACGAGGTCCCCAGACCTTGTCTAGCCCAGACCTCTACACTGTGGAGAGAATAAAGGAAACACAGGGAGCCTGGGAATTCACCCTGAAGAAACCCCTGGCCTTGAGCCCAGGACTATCTCCTCTAGGGAAACTCCCAGTTCCTCAAGGCAATCTGGCATCTTCAGTCAGGCTCTGGCTGAACCTGGTGGCTCCCTCCCTCCTCTGCCTTCCCCTCCCTAAAACCTTCGCAGCAGGTGATGGTTCCTGGATACTTGGAGCAGCTTTCAGGCAACCAAGACTCGAGAGGCCCCCAAGGCAGGGGTCTCCCAGGCTTGAGGCAGCCCCAGGCCTCTCTGGGAAGAATGGGCTTTGGTTCTTTCTCACAGCAGCCCTAGTGAAACCAATGCTAGTCACTCCCATGTGATCTCACCAAAATAATTTAATTCCTTTGTGAAAATTAACATGACATCCAAGAACAAATTGTGGACATGATAAGGTAGAAGCCTGAGCCTGTATAGGCTGTTCTCATGGAGAGCAGGGGGACTGAGACCTGCCTCCTTGAGACTCAGCTGGCCTGAGGGTACACTCCTTGAGTCAGCCTGGCTGGGGCGGGGGGCACCCCTAGCGGCCTGGCTGCCCACCACGGCGGCAGCCTTCTCGATTCCGGTTCCACATCTCGTTCTCCTGCCGAAGTTGCTGGTTCTCTGTCCGGAGCCGCTGGTTCTCCATCCGGAGCCTCTCTACCTCGGCGGCCAGTTCCTCCACCTGGCAAGAGGGGTGACCGCTGGTGCGCCTCGGCAGCTGCTGCCGCAGCCTCCTCACCTCCTCCTCGGCCTGGGACAGCTGCCTCTCCAGATCCAGAGAGTCTCGCACCAGCTCCTCCTTGCTGCGGCCCTGCAGGCTCTTGGGGAGATGACGCTCATAGGCCTCAGAGAAATCCTCCTGCTGGAACTCCTCACATGCGCGGCCCTGCCCGTCACTGTCCCCGGCCTCACTCTCCCCGCTGGAGCCTGGGTGGGAGGCCCACTGGGGCACATCCAGGTTGGGCTCCTTGGGGTCTCGGTCTTTCATCAGGAACTGGGTGGTGGTGTAGGGTGCCACGGGCTGGCCTTTGGCGAACAATTCTTCTCGGACCCGGAAGGCCCGCTGGCTCTGCCTCTCGTCCCACTGTTGCTTCTCAGCCCAGCTGAGCTCCAAGTAGGGCCGCCAGTGTCGCTTGCGCTTTGTGTATGTGCTGCCAAAGCGAGCATGCTGCTTGCGCTTTGAAGGCCGCCGGCGGTGCTTCTTCCGGGCCAGCATGGTCTCTGTGGAACAACCCCCTGGGCTCTGGGCCTGGGGACTCCTACCATTCCAGTCCAGGCCACCGCCAGCCTCAGGAGGGTCTTCCTCCTCTGAGTGGCTCTCCATCCAAGGGGTCAGGGGCTGGGAACCTCCAGGGTCATGAGGCTCAGGGGATGTTCGGGGGCTCCCACAAATGCCAGAGATCTAAAGAGAGAGGACAAAGGAGAAGGGATCACAGATGGCCTCTCCCCAGTGGTGGAATTCTTCTCTGTTCACCCAGCCTGAATCTGACCTGCGCACACCCAACTCACTTGGTCCCTCTCTAGCCTCACACCTTCTACAGCCATCTGTCAGTTTATGGGCTTACCTGTCTATTGTCTGTCCTCTAACCCTCCCCAAGCAAACTCATGGGGAGAGCCAGAATCTTGCCTGCATTTCTCACTCTGTAATTTCAATACCTGCAACAGTATCTGGCATAGAGTAAACATTCAATAAATACTCTGAAACAGGATGGAAAGTCGCTCATGATGTATTTACTTGATCAGAAGCCCAAACAGCACTTGCTCTTCCCTCTTTAGAAAGCTTCTCTTACATGGATGGACCCAGAGATTATTATACTGAGTGAAGTACGTTAGAGGAGAAATATCATATGACATCCCTATATGTACAATCTACAAAGAAATGATACAAGTGAACTTACCTAGAAAACAGAAACAGGCTCACAGACTTATAAAAAGAACTCTGGTTGCTGGGAGAAGGATGGTAGGGAGGGATAGTTAGGAGTTTGGAATGGACATGTATACACGGCTATATTTTAAAATCGATAACCAATAAGGACCTACTGTACAGCACACGGAATTCTGCTCAATGCTATGTGGCAGCTTGCATGTGAGGAGAATTTGGGGGAGAATGGATACATGCATACAAATGCCTTGTGCGTGCTTAGTCGCTCAGCTATGCCCAACTCTCTGCGACCCCATGGACTGTAGCCCACCAGACTCCTCTGTCCATAGAATTTTTCAGGCAAGAATACTGGAGTGGGATGCCATTTCTTTCTCCAGATTGTGCTGATCCAAGAATCGAACCCATGCCTCCTGTGTCTCCTGCATTGCACGTGGGTTCTTTACCGCTTAAGCCCAGGTGACGCAAGTGGTAAAAAAAAATCTGCCTGCCAATGCAGCAGGCATAAGAGACGTGGGTTCTATCCCTGCATCAGGAAGATCCCCTGGAGGAGGACATGGTCACCCAATCCACTATTCTTGCCTGAAAAATCCCATGGATGGAGGAGCCATAGTGTCACAAACAGTTGAACACAACTGAAGCAACTTAGCACAGCACACACACGTGTATGGCCAAGTCCCTCTGCTAGTCACCTGAAACTATCACAACAGTTAATCAGCTATATTCCAAAACAAAATAAAAAAAATTTTTTTAAAGAAAATTAAAACTTACCTTTCAGGCAAAGCTAGTTTCCTGGCAAATGACCTGTACTGTCCCACAGAACCCCCATTCAGAAAGGCCCCAAGCTTAGCGCTTTGCTTAATCTCTGCTGTCATTGTCTTGAACTTCTTAGTAATTTTGAATTAGAAGCCCCATAATCTATGTGACCAATCCCACTTCCAGCTATCTGCATAGCTAATTCTTTTTCATCCCTTAAGGTTTAGTTCCAATGTCAGCTCTTCAGAGGCCCTCCCTGACCACCCTATCTATGTGGCCCCCTCCTCCGCTTCCTAGTGATCCCCTGATATGTGACAGTTAAGTGTCCCACTTAGCATTAGCACATTACCATTTACCATCTTTCTCTTCCCTAGAAGAATGGGTCCTGTCCGGTTCACCACTGTGTCGCTATGTATGGCTCAAGGTGAGTGTTCAATAAATGTATATTAAATGACATGAGCCCAGAAGAAGGGGGTGGGGGGGACCCAAAAGATATCAGAACACGAGACTCTCTTTTCTGTCATTCCAGGGTGAATGGAGTGTATTTATTCCAGGCAGAAGTTGCTATCACTCTTCTACAGGAGGGCCAGGAAAGCACTAGGGAGAGGAAGGGCCAATCTCCAGTCTGTAGCCCAGAGAATTCTAGAACTTATCTAAGACGTGGAAAGGATTCTGTCTCTGTCAAGAGTGTGTGTGTTCAGGGCATCTGTTTATCTCCCTCGTGGTGAGGGTGGGAGCACTGAGTGTGGGGGGAGGGGAATGAATTGCTAGAAGTTTGTGGTTTGGGGAATTCTAATAATAACTACTAGCATTAGAACAGTGTTTTATAATGTTTAACACATTATATGTTCTGTTCAGGGATCTCTGAGCATGGGTCTATACATAGGGTTTGTCCTGGGAGATGGACACGGTCCTATAAGAGTTGGAGGTGTGTTAACATGCATTTGGGAGACCCCGAAGTCCTCTTCTTAATTTGGGATGGGGTATTTTGGAGTCGCGCGTGCGTGTGTGTGTGTGTTGTTGGTTGTGTTGTATTATTACTTTACCTGCAGGTAGAATATCTATCAAGAGTGACAGGCCATGTCTTCACCAGTGTCTTGGGCCAACGGAGAAGAGCTTCTGCTCCATCCAGGAAGAGGCAAGGCCACTGGGAAGTCCGAGGTGGGGGGCTCATTTGTGTGTGCACAGTCATCCACCCGTTCCCAGCCCTCAGCAAATGTCCCGCAGGAGCTCAACCCCACCCAAGCCAGCCCTGCACTCAGCCCCACATGCCGCCCCCCTCCTAAAGGCCTGTCCCTCTACCACCATTACCACTACTGCAGGTAAGCTGTGTGATCTGGATGAGTCATCTGCCCTCTCTGAACCTGACATGCCATGAACTCCAAGTTAAACCCAGAAAATATACTGGAGGTAGCTAGGTATGGAGGGTCAGAGGGCAAGCATTCCCTCCTTACCTCTAGGTAGCTGTGGACTAAGGGAAAAGAATGGGCAAGGTGGGGGCAGTGAGACAGCACACAGGCTGGGAGGCTTTGGGCTCCTGCTATTGATCAGAAGGTGATGTTCTCTGACTCTCCCCTCTCTCCTGGGTGATTTTCTACCCACTACACCCAACCTAAATTATGAACCAATGGCTCAAACTCTTCTCCCTGCTTCAGACTTGGTTCTCAGCCTAGACAAAAATGCAAGGCAGGGTTCTGTTGTTTAAGGCCCTAAGCTTAAATCCTAGGTCTTCTGCTTGCTGGCTGCATGATTCTAGAAAAGGCACTTCAGGGGACTTCCCTTGCACGGCAGGAGGCAGGGGTTTGATCCCTGGTGGGGGAACTAAGATAGCAAAGGCTGCCTGGCCCAGGCAAGAGGAGGGGAGGTGTGGGAGTGGGTAAGCATTGACAGAAAAGCATTTTTTTGAGATAGCATCTAGCATGTTGCTCAGTGCACAGTAGGGACTCACTTAAAAAATACTGGCTTCCCAAATCCACCACCACATCTGAGCCAAGAAGCCACAATCCCAGTTGGCAGGATCGACCTTCAGGGCACTAAGGTGGTTGGGAGAATGGGGCTTACCTTGGCCTCCTCCAGGGCGGCTGGTGGTGGTCGGTTTGGAGAAGCCACCTTCTTCTGTTTCCAATCTTTCATCAGAGGCCTTTAACTAGTGACACCTGCTTTAAATAACACAAACTTAAGTCCAGAAGGAGAATTTTCAGGAGGGCTCTGGCTGCCCAGCAAATGTTAACCAAGGCAGCGGCAGCCATTTTGTAGCATCAGACCTACATACCTTCATTTTCAAATAAAGGGCCAGGAAGGCTGCCTCCACCCTGGTTTTCACACCTCCAAGCAGGGAGGAGGTCAAATGGGAATCAGGGAACCATCTTTCCAGCCCTGTTCCTCAGCTCCCAGGCCAGGGCTTACATCTTATTCTTCTGAAAGTCACCAAGGCCAAAGCAAGCAGCTAGGCAGCTACAGAGGAGAACCAAAGAGGGGGAAAAGACAGCCTGGGGAGGCGAATATACAGCAATGATCTGGAGAGGCAGGGAGTGGAGTCGGTCAGTGGCTCTGACAAGCCTGAGAAGGAGTCCTTTCTCCACTGCTTCCAGAGGCCCCTATCTTGACTGCAGCCTCCCACCTCCATTTCTGGAGCGCTGGGCTCCAGAAATCAACGCCCCAAAAGACACCACTGACACCTAGGCCCAGCTTGGGACTGAGGCCCTTTCATCTACATAATTTGGCCGGCTTCCCTCCTCCTTCTCAATGGAAAACAGAAGAAAGGGGAAAAGATGTCTTCGCGCTATAGACAACTGGGAGGGAAAGTCAACTGGGATAAGGATGGATTCCTTGGAAAAGGGGAAATGATTCGGGAAGATTTTGCAAAGGCAGAACTGACCTATTTGCTGTCAGGGGCCATGCACAGGACTACGTCTGTGTGTCTTTCTGTGCGACCGCCTGTCTGTGCAATTCCCAACGCCTCAGCCCTACCCACTGCTGCAGCTCTAGTGAAGCCGCTCGGGCACTAAAGTTGAGGGGAGGGGGCCCTTCCCGGGGGCCCCCCTCCCCCCACGGCCCCGCCCGGCAGCGCTGTGCCTGCTGGGGATTGTAGTTCTTCTGGCTGGGGAAGGGGGGGATCAAGAGCGGGTAACGTCGACAAGCACACAGAAAACTCAAAACCCATCTACCCTTTCGCGAGCGGCATCCCGCGCTCATCGATGCCTCCCTTGATTGGTCCATTCACCTGTCAATATTTCCCCGTTCGTCAACGATTAGCTGTGCGGAAGCACAATCAGACCCGCCTACCATAGCTCAATTAAAGAGTTCATTGATGGCGTTAATCTTTACTGGGAAGAAAATAGATCCGGCTGAAGGGGGAGGGGCTTGGGCGCGGAGGTATCCTCGGCCCTAGAGGCAGGCGACGAGAAGGATCGGTGGCCGCCGCCGCCATTTTGGGCTGGGAGGAGGCAGCGGAGGGACTCGCTGCGCAGTGAGAGCACCCCATGGGGGGTGGTCCGGGCGCGGGGAGAGGCCGGGCCGAGTGGGCTGCCTGAAGTGGCGGCGCCGGGAGACGGCGGGAGTGGGACCGGGGGCCGCGGGGGTGAAGGCTTGAGTCTCTCCGGCCGGGCCCGGTCCTCAAACCGTCCCGGCAGCCCCGCAACCTCGCCTCTCACAGAGGGCGGGGTTCTTGGGTAATTACCCCGAATTTCCCGAGACCCCAACTGGGGAGAGACCGGGTGAAACGACTACCCTTTGCTCCTACCACGGGAGCTCTGATCCTGAGGTCGAACTCCGCTAAGTTCTTTCCCCACCCCCATGCGGCCTGGGTATGGCGGCGAGGCCCGGTTTAGCGGGACCCCCACTTCGATGGGCATGGTGGGGGCGACGCCACATTCCAAAGACTGGCGCCGCGGGGGCGGGTGGAGGTTGCAGCTCCGGCCGCGCGTCCCTTTGGCGTGGCAGTCAGCTGGAGGCTCCGAGGGCGGAGAGCCAGGCGCACCCACCGTCTCCCCCCATGCACCAAGGCCACCCCGTGGCCAGGGCTGTGAAAAGGGACAGCCTTCTTCCTACTGTAGCAACCACTAATTCTCCTCAGGGACCAGCTAGATCGCGGCACGTGCAAATCTCTGAGCGCTCTTGCCCTCGAGATTCCTTCTGTCCAACCCCTATTCTCAGAACGACCTGACCTCGCACGTTGCCAGCTGCTTTGGGAAACTCCAAAAGTGTGCTGTTCTACTTCTCTTGAAAGTTTACACCGAAAGGGGATGGGGTTTTGCCCTTTGCAGAGTTGGGACACAAAGTAACTTGGGAGTCGCCACGGTTCTGGGAATAAAAATGGAGTGGCCCATTTCGGTTGCTTCAGGAACATCTGTTTGCATTTTGAAATCTGAGCCATAACTTTTACCAAAACCTTTGGAGAAATGGCCGCCCTCCTAAAGGAAAAAAAGAACTAATTCCAATGTAATCTTTATAAGAGTACAGATTATTTCCAATTTAAAGAACTTTTCTCCCACAAAGGAAACAAAATGGAATATTTTGCCACTAATGCATTGTTAGTAGGGAGTCTCTGTTTTGAAATTCCAAGTAACTGAAAGTCACGTCTGTGGATCCCGGATGACCCCCAAAATAGAAATTGCAGTTTTGAGCTACTTCATATGTGTGGTGTTTGAGAGAGTAGGGAAAACCTGCTTTGAAAAAAATAAACAACCTTTTATTACAGTTGTAGCACCTTCTTAAGGATTGAAGATTGACGTGAAATTCTTTTCTTGAATTGCAGATGAAACAATTTTGTCTTACTGCTTGAACTCTAAATTCAGAAAGATTCATAGCTCAGGAGTTGCTTAATGTTGTTGCTAAAAAGTCAGTTAAAATTATGCCCAAGTAGACTGAAGTAAAGATAGTGACTGGGCAGTGAACTTTATCTTTGAGGGTATCTTGTGGTGAAGCTCAGGGCTGATTACAGATGGTCAAATCGTTCCTAAGTATTTGGCCTTCATAGCAAAGTTTTTTCAGAACTGAAGTCCTGTTCCTCCTATTAGTAATTTTTTTAAGTTGTAAGAGTGACAACTCCAGAGCTTTAACTATGTTCTGTTTGTCCCTGGGATGTTCTTAGAGATAAGTCTTAGAACTGGATTGCCAAAAAGTACAATCACCTTTGATACATTATTAATCTAAAATATGAGCCACTTATCCTAAATAAAGATTCAGTACACTTGATTCATGGCTGTAGGTTGACTTGGCCTACCTCATATTCACTTTACACTTTTCAGATCAAGAGAAGATACCAGTTTGGAAAAGCTTACACTTAAGTTGGTAGGAGGTAAATGGTCATAGCTGAAAGGGGCTTTAAAGCTTATCTTTGTGGTTCAGTTGTCAAGAATGTAATGATGGAGAATCTCAGACTTGTGATTCATCCTCCATTGTGAAGTAATCTAGTTAAACATTTGGAAACTACTAAGGAGAGTACTGTGCCAGGTGCAGAAATTTTACTTGTAAAGGGGAAAGCTCATCATTTAAGGATGACCCATATGCTTTTCCATTCCTAGATAAGAAAAGTTGGGAATAAAATCAGTTTGTTAATGGTCCCTTGGTTACCTACTGAGCAAAACACAGGACTGAAAGTTAGGAACTCCAAATTCTGTTCCTGTGTGTGCTACCACAGACTTGGTTCACTTGGCCAGGAGCCAAATCCTGAGATGAGGCCAAACTGGTCATTTTGTTGCTGAGTCTATTGTTTGTCTAATGTTCAACCAGACCTTCAACTTCCTTCTCAGCTCTCCTGTTTCAGATGAGTTGCTTTGTGGTTTATGACAAATTCAGCAAACTTTATGTGCCTCAGTTTCTTAATTTGAAATTGGTATCAATGCAGCCTCCAGCATAAATACCTTGAATAACTACTCTAGAGGCTGTGTAAACATCTACTTGTTATAACATAGTTATTTGGGAACCTTAGAACTTCTGCTTCAAAGGTTGTTTGGAGCATTTGGGAGGGCTGCTTTCCCAAAGTGTGGCCTGGGTTGTCATGTTCCATCCAGATAGTTGAGCAAAGGTACCAAGGTACCTCTCAGGGTACCAAGCAGTTGTTACCTCAAGTCCTGAATGGCTTACGTTTGCCTAATGGCCAGCTCCTGGGAGTATTGGCTGTGTGTGAACAGGATTCGCTGACAATAGTGATTCTTTGCAGCAGCCTCGTTCAGGATGAAAATTCTTACTCCTGAACCATTTGATTTCCACATTTTTTTTTACTTTGTGTTTAGTCCTCATCCTCCTCTCTCTCTCTCTCTCTCTCCTCTTTTTAAGTTAAAATGTTTGCTTAAATAAATACACTTTTAGTAAGCCCTAGAGAAGAAGGTAGAACTGACCTCTTCGACATTTCCTTCCATCTTCCGGTTTGGTCCTCTGCCTTTGCCTGAAAGTTGTTCTGGGGTTATCCAGGTATGCAGAAGTGCGTGCTTAAAGCAGACTTCAGAACTTCAAATTAATCTCTGATGCTCTGGAGGCTAGGGCAGGTTCTACTGAGTAGCTTACAAGAGCAGTAATGCTATCGTTTTCTCAAATTGTGCATGGAACACTCTAGAGCTCTCACATTTTCCTTCAGGAATATCATCTTTGCTTACCGTTGACCCACAGTTGTTTTTTAACACTTCACAGAGTCAGTGGATGTATCAAATAGAAGGTGTCTTCAGATAAGAGTTTACAATGCTCTTCAAATTTTCGTTCTTTTTGGAAAATTTTAAGCCAGCTATAACTGTTCTTGGTGCTATGCTGAGGGAAAGAATCACACTAGCTGTTTCAGAACTTACCAGCTGTTTCTGGTAGCAGCTAAACCATTTGAAAGAATTTCGAGGTGTGTAAAGATTTGTTAGTAAACTACTTGGATTATCCCTGCTGTTGCCAGTGTTATATCATTTGTCATAATTGAATTGCCTCTCGGTAAAGCCCAGGAAAAACTTTATTCAGGAGGATTTGCGAGAGCTGTTATTTATCTGCCTTTGTTTTTTCAACAAGAAATGATGTTGTAAGCTTTCCAACATTCAAAGACAACTGGCAGGAATTGGCAAAAGATTGAATCTTCACTTTCTAGACCATATATTTTGTCTTACAGAGTGTGACTTGCCCTTTGGTCAGCAGATCCCACTATTCAGGGCCTGAATTTGACATTTTCTTTTAGAAATTACTTTTCATTTCTAGCAACAGCCCTTTACACTTTACATGAGAAGAGATAGTAAAGTGGAATTTTATTACAATCTTGCTTGAGAAATGGGTAAAATAATTTTTGAAAACCCACAAACTCAGGTGTACATAGGTACAAATATAGAACTCTTACTCTCGCCAGCTTTTCCATCATACTGTTATGAATATTTGTTTCTAGCTGTTGGTGTAAGTGGCCAGGGGACACCTATAGTACATTGTCAAATATTTGGCTGAACATTGGTTTTCTGAAGTAGACTATTTAGTTGTGGATTTTGCTTATTTCTGTAGATTTCTTTGATTTCTCTTTTGAATTCACCAGGATAAAGTATATTTATTTGCATTTCCCCAAGCAAAGGAGTTTTATTTTACTGTTAACAAAGTGAAAATTAAAATACTGATCAAGTGGGCAATTGCTCTGGTCTTAAGAATATCAATGGTACCTTACTCTTGTATAGACTGTTTTCATGCTGTCTCTAATCCTTGCAGCAGTTCTGTAATGTAGGCATGGACCCATTTTGCTGATGAAGAATGAGGCTCTGAGAGTGTTAAGGCTTGCACTGTTAGTATATATCAAAGGGAGAACTAGGAACCTGGATTTTTGACTCTTTAGTCTGGTCTAATTTTATGTTTCCTCTCTTTAGAAAAACCTTGTCTGTTTTTCAGAACTAAACCAATCTGAAACTCCCTGGCTTTCCCACTCAAGCAGAAATTAGGGCTCTATCTCCTGAGGACCACTTTAGGTTATAGCCTAGCCCAAGACAAGTTTTCCTTAGCTCAAAGGAGGATTAAGCTGCCCAGCCAGCTGTCTCCAAAGTTTGGGAAGTGCTTTGCCCTTGCTGGATACCCAGACCTCAGTAAAGAGAACTACTGAAATTGCCAATGTGTAAGCATGATCTTTTAACAGCTTATTTAAATTGTTTAGCAGAAATACCTTTAGTGAATGGCTCGAGTGGACTTGAGGATCATTTGTCATGAACCTGGTAGTATAGGGAGTTCAGAGTCTTCCCTCTGCCCTGGCAGCAGCATGCTAGTCAAGTGTTTCACTTAGAAAGTGTTGATAGAAAATTGAAATTAAAAAAAAAAAATTGAAATTTTTCACAAACCACATCATTCCGAGAACATTAAGTAAGTGTTAGTTGCTCAGTCGTGCCTGACTCTTTGCAACCCCATGGACTGCAGCCCACCAGGCTCCTCTGTCCATTAGATTTTCCAGGCGAGGATACTGGAGTGGGTTGCCATTTTCTTCTCCAGGGGATCTTCCCAACCCAGGGACATTAAATACAATAAAATGCAGGTGCCTTTGAAAGCAAAATTCGGAGTTGCATATCTCAAGGTAAATCAAAGTAAATTATGACAATTACTTTAAATATGTATAATTTAGAGACTGGATTGAATTTGTCTCCTAAAACTTAACGCATTTTTTTTTTCCTGATGGACTACAAATCTTTCTAAGAATAATAGGAAAACAAGATCTTTATACTTAAACCCATCTTATTAAGAAGAGGTTCTGAAATCAAGAGGCCATCACTGCTGCATCCCTTGTAGTGCAGTCAGAATGAGGCTCCTGCTTGTGCACTGTAAAGCCAGAGGGCAGTGTTGCTGCTTTCCCAAGCAGCCGTTTCTGGGACTCCTGTATGACGTCATGGCAGAAGGAAAATTAAAAACACGAAAACTATTTCAAAATAGACTTTTAATGTAGTTTTTAGGCCAAAGGAAAAGCTGATCATACATTGTCTCCAGTGGACCATCTGCCAGAATAGGGCCACCTCAGTCCAGCTTTGAAGGCCCTGAATCAGTCTTAACCGCCATAATTTCCCTTAATTCATGGATTTGTGTATGCTTCTCATGCATCATAAGGCACATTTCACTCTTGAAGTTCCCACCACCTCCACTATTTCATTTAGTTGCAAAAGCAAGCTTCCCAACGGGAGTTTTTCCCCCCAGCCTTCAAGGAATTTGAGAATTTCGATTCTCTAGAACCCTCTCTCCTTCGAGGAGTTTGAGAAAATTGATTCTCTAGAACCCTCTATCCAGAAGTACCTACACATAATACAAGTCTACATACAATTCCATGGGGCTCACGGACCCCAAGGCCCCCTGTGTTTCTAAGGAACCAGGTGAAAGAAGCCTTGTGCTAGTGATTTGAGCAATGCATTTGGTCTAGGGGAACACGGGGCAGGTAAAGATGGGCTGGGTAATCATGATAACAGGAGGGAACAGTCTTAAGAGTTTCTATTTTGACTTGTGGGCAGAAAGGAATTCCTAGGGCCTCCTGCACTTTGAAGAGTAGAACTACTCAGGGACTAAGCAGCTATCAGCACAGTTTAAGACTGAGAATAGAGGCTGTATAGGGATGGTACAGGGCTCCCACTTGGCCCCCCAAGGACTTAACTTAGCTCAACCAGAAGCTTTACATTTTATTTGCAGTGAGGGGGCATTTCTAATTTTAGTTTGAGTCTCATGGGAAGGTGGACAGCTCCTATTCCTTTTTTTGGTATAGGGAGCACTTAAGTATTGGGCATTTAGGGTTAAGTCCTTGGAATGCCCCAAATGGTCATTTCCTCTATAAATACAATATTCCCTACCTCTGAATATTTTAACATAAAGAGCTGCCTCACAACTGTTTATTCAACCATTGCTTGCACTAAGAAAGCAAGATAAGTGCCTTTCCGAGGCATCCAGGCATCCAAGAACTCCTTCCAGCCTTACTGGGAGGCGGTGGGGGAAATTACTAAAAGCCCACTTGTAGGAGTGAAATGAGGCTGTCAGTTGTCCAACCTGACAAATGGCCAAATTAGGTTTACATTTTTGTTAATAGACTTTTGAGTGGCTATTGAGAAGCAGAATTAAATTTTAAGCTGCTGATCATAGTTACTTCCTACTCCCCAAACACCCAACGCTGGTTTATTTCTCCAGCATCAAGTAAGAAAATGAAGGCACTAGAAAATAACACACTTAAGTATTGAAGATAATTAAATCTTTATATTTTGCTGGAACTGTATATTGTAGCACACTAAAACCCATTCAAGGGAAAACTGGGCAAACTGAAAATTCTCCCATTAAGGTTTGTTTTGAAAACGGACAAATTAAATGCTTCCTTTACCCCTCCCCCCAATGCAATCACATAAATCAGTATTACTTTGAATTAGCTCTAGAAATCACACAAACTATGTTACATTTACAAATATTTATTATAACTAGAATGAATTTAATGGTTCTCAGATTTGGCCACCTTATAGCTCCATTTAAGGAGATTTTTAACAGAAAACTGCATTATAACCTGGTCAAGTTACTTACACATTAAAAAAGAAAACTCCTAAAAGGAAAACAAGGAAAGCAACCCTTCAGTTTCACATAATTAAAGAACAGGAGAAAGCACACAAGCTACATCATAGCTAAACTGACCGAACCAACCAAAGCCAGGGGGGATTTCTTTTCGGATTATGTGTCATAAAAAGGCCCGCTGTCTTATATACACGTGTATATAATGGTACATTCCATCACTGTAAAAAGTCCCCTTTGCCCCCTCCCCCGGGAAAGTTTCAGTCTAGTCTCCAAAGTTGGACAGCGGCGCCCGCTCCTGCTGCCGGTGCAGTTCGTTCTCCGTCAGCAGCTGGAGGTTCTCCGCGCGCAGCCGGTCCAGCTCCAGCTCCAGCTCCCGCACGCGCGCGTCGTCGCCGTCCAGCCGCTGGCTGTCCAGCCGCTGGCTTTCCAGCCGCAGCCGATTATTCTCGTCCTCCATACGCGAGAGGCACTTCTCCAGCTCTAGGTACTCTTTGATGAGCTCCTGCTTGCTCATGTTCTGCAGGCTCTCCGCGTGGTACCGCTCATAGGTCTCCGAGAAGTCCCGCTGCAGAAACTCGCTGCCGTCACCTCCCATCCCGTCGCTGCCCCCATCCTCCTCACCCGCTTCTTCCATAAAGTCCTCATCGCTGGTGTCGTCGGACTTGGCAGCGGCCCGTTTGGGGTAGAGGCCGGTTTTAAGATCCGGTTCCTCCTGGTCGTGGTCATCCATGAGGAACTGCGTGGTGTTATAGGGAGCAACTGGCTGACCCTTGGCGAACATCTCGGCTCGAATCCTCGAAGCTCGCAAGCTCTGTTTCTCATCGAACTTTTTCTTCTCCTCCCAGGTCAGCGTATAGTACGGTTTCCAAAGACGCTTCTTCTTGGAGGGGCGTCTCCTATGTTTTTTCTTGCCCACCTGTCTCTGCTGCGGGGGAGCTCCGCCAGCGGACAAGTCGTCCCCATTCTGGCCCTTCTCACCCGCTTCCGGACAGCTGGATTCTGGGCAGACCTGGGTTTTCAGAGGAGACGGCTGGGGTTCCAGGCTCCCTTCCCCCCGGTGCCCCGGAGAGCCACCCGACTGGGGGGACGCTCTCGATTGCCACCTACTGTCTTCCTCCGGCACCCGCTCCTCCGCGCCTGGGGGGCGATCAGGGTTCCGTTCTTCATGGACAGCAACAGCACCTGTACAGTTGCTAGTTTGAGGCTGGTGCTGATACTCTGACAAGAGTGGCTCGGCCATTGCTAATAGAATCTTCTTCTCGAAGTTTGAAGAATGTTGGCTGTAAGTCCTTAAGGAAAGAAAGGTTTGCTTTTCTTTGCAAAAATGTCCAACACAGTCCTCTTCGGTCTGTAATTCCTGCAGTGATGCCTTTAGCCAGTCCTGTCAGCAAACTCCAATTGCAATTTGGGGGCGCTCAAGTCAGTAAAGGGTTAAGCGCCCAGAGCGCGACCAGATAGCGGGTCCAAGGGGGAGCAGCAGCAGGAACAGTACGTAATGTGCAGACGGGGTGGGCTTCAAGCCTTCCTGCAGACCGCCCCCGCGATCGAGAAGTTGGTGGGCAAGAAGATTAGGTTAAATCCAATGGGTTAAACCCAGCCCCGAAGGGGTTAAAACTACCCGATGACGCTGACTCCGAGGGGCCGGATCCACAAAGGGTTAAATCCCCTGCCGCAGAGCCCACAAGGGGTTAAAGTCCCAAAGCCACCTCCTCCCACTTCCACGGGTGTCGCTCCAAGCCGAGCTCCCCGTTCCCTAGGCCCGGCCGGAGCCTCAGCCGAGGACAGACAAACTCATCTCCCCTTTGGCTCGATGCTCTGCTCAGCTCAGTTCTCCTCCGCCTCCTCCTCTTTTTCCTCCCTCCCTCCTCCCCCTTCCGACAGCTCCTCTTCCGCCTCCTCCCCCAACTTCCCCTCCCAACCTGCCTCTCCACCTGCCAACTTCCAACTGCTGCCTCCCAGCCCTCTGCGTCCCTTTTATATAGAAGCCGGTCCGCCCCGCCCATGCGCATGCGTGACGGAGTCCCCATCGCAGGAAGCTGGGAGTCGTAGTTCTCATCTTTCAGGCCCGCCGTCCTCGCGCGCCGTGCGACGTAGCCAATCCCAGGACGCGTAGGGGGCGTTTTCCAGGCCGCCTCCTTCCATCGCTTAGCCCTAGCTGGAGAAACGTGAGCGCCCATTGGTCAAAAGGCACACGTCTCGCCGAGGAAGGAAGGCCAATCGCAGAGAAGATGGGGCGGGTTCTGGACCATACCATTCTGCTTCAGGAATACAAGAAGATTCGATGGCCTGTGAGGGCCTACACAGAATATTTTTATGAAAAGGTGCTTCTTAAAGGTTATTGCCCTATTCTGTTCTCAGCGGAAAGGTTCTTAAGATCACAAACATTTTTTAACTTAAACGAGAATGGTTTACCCCTAAAAAGTAGTCCCTAACGTGTAAACGAGTATTTAATTCTGTAAAGAGAGACGTTGGCTCATGGCGACTAATTCTCGATTCTTAAGATTACAAGAATGGCTTCAAGGTGTTGATTAGTGACTGGGATTGACGTTTGCGGAAGGATATTGTGAACACATTTTTTGTTTAAAAAAAGCGCATGAAGAGGTAAACATGAAGAATAAAAAGTGCCGCCTTAAAGGGACAGTGTGACTGCTTTATGGCAGTAACCTCCGACTAGGCCTCGGAAGATGAGAAAGCAGGTTCGAGTCCCGGGTGACGTCCACCTCCGGACTACCCTGGGACCCTTAGCGGAAAGTGGCGGAGTCTCAGCCCCAGCGTAATCTTTCACGGCCGCCCCCGCCCAGGGGCCGGTGCAAAATGGTGGGCCGTGGCTGATTTCTCTCGCCGGCGCTGGGAAGTGCTAGGTGTGCGCCCTGGGATCCCCCGAGATCCCGGGATGTAAGGCCTCGCTTCCCTTCTCCCTCCCCAGGCCTCAGCTTCTATCGAAGAAAATGGCCTCCTGGGGCCGTCTTGGTCTGTTCATTTCGACCATGAAATTTTCCTGAGCCTGGATGGGAGTCCAGGGCAGCGGATGAGCCTCTTTGTTGGGGGAGGGGTTCGAAATTAATACTGAGTTGAAATAATTAACCCCGGCTACTCGAGAGAGAAGCCACAGACTGGACAGACTCATCCACTGAGACTCCTCCTCGTCAGTGGACGCTGGGCAACACCGGCAGGGAATCAGAGCCAGAGGCTCCCCCGAGGAAACCTTGTCCAGAAATGAGGGCAGAGGGATTCTGGCCCAGAACTGTGGGACAGATTGGGGGGTGGAGAGCGGCGCGCGACATAACTCTGCTTGTGAAAATTCTCTAGATTCCAGGCTTCCGCTCAAAGGACAGGGGCTGAGGGTCAGCAGTAGCAGAAACCCTCGACTCAAATCACTTAGGCCTAAAATCTTAAATGCTGCAGTCCATGGGGTCGCAAAGAGTCAGACACTACTGAGTGACCGAACTGAACTGAAAATCTTCCTGTAATCTCAGGTTTTCCCATTTGCCACACACCGTGACTCTTCTGTTTCTTAATTAACAGCCCTGTCTTATAGTCCAACCGCCTTCCACCGCAGTGTTCCTTTGCACACAGAACCATGTGCCCCTCCACAGCCCAGTGAGTTAGGCAGGGTAGCGATTCTTGTCTCCATTTTAGAGATAAGAAATCTCTGAAGCTCAGAAATTCAGTGACTTGTCCAAGGTCACATGATAATTAAGTGACACTTTCGGCTAAAGCGAAGGTCTCTCTAACCCCATGCTGTTTTTCTATAACAAACACAAAATTCCTTTTTCTGTAAGAACTCTGGATTTAGTTTCTTTCCATCTGCAACACTTTCAGCCAATCTCTGGCCCTTCTTTCTCTTTCCTTCTCTCTCTCTCTCTTTTTTTGCCTCACCTGGAGACATGTGGGATCTTAGTTCCCCCACTAAGGAAAGAACCCGGCTCCCTACAATGGAAGCACTGAGTCTTAACCAGTGGACTGTCGGGTTAATCTCACATTGGATAAGAAGGCACAATGATGAATAAAATTTCATCCGTGCTATTCAAGGACTGTGTAGAGAGGCCATCAAACCTACGGTAAGCCAAAATGGCACGTGATGAAAATCCTGGTAGGAGCTTGTGAGCCAAGTTGCTTAGTTGAGTTGAGAATTGTGGACAGGTTTCATGGAGGAGGTGACTTCGTGGCTGCCTAAAACATGAAGCATCTTCAGGCAGAGTGGTATGAAGCAGGACATTATATGACGAGTAGGTGTCTTGTCCCAAGACAGGACTTGTCTGGGGATTCAGGAGTGGTTTTGTGGGGAAGCGGTCATGGGCATGCCCAGAGGGAGAGGCAAGCAAGAGTGACCCTGAGGCACATCCAGATGTTTGGAGACGAACATCCTAGCCTGTTTTCCCTGAGAACTCGGGTCTTTCTGAAAAGCCTGCCCCTCAAATGTGCTGCTTCATCAGTCATGCAAGAAGCTTCGCAGGAGCAAGAGCTTCTCCTCAACAATGGAAGCACTGAGTCTTCCATTGGAGCGCTCTGAGGAAAAGTTTTTGGAGAGAACTCGACTGGGAGTCAGAGACCTCCAAATTACTACATTTTCAGACTCCAGAGGACTCCTGGGTACCCTCAGTCAGGGGATTTGGAAGGTACAACTGAGCCCAGCCTCAGTCTGTTGAACCTGGTTCAGCTGTATGGGCACATTTGTTCTATTGGGGGTGGGGGGAGTGGTCAGACTTGACAGGTTGTGGAATTCCAGAATTCTATGAAACAAGAGGCCACACACGTTGATATTAGCTAGGCATTTTGTTATTAATGTCCTGGTCATTAATCCCCAGGACTGCCTTATGGTGAAAATGTCTTCATCGCTATTTCACAATCAAGGCACCCAGGATGAGCAAAGAATCCTGCCCAAGTCACACTGCTAGTATGCGCAAATGGTGGCGCTGGCTTGCGCTTGCATCCCCAGCACCAGTTTGGCCCCTCTTCCATTGCCCTCCAGTTCTTCATCCTTAACACAGGGATTAACTCAAAGATTTCGTAGCCCCAACAGCTTGCAGCAGCTAGCGGCTCCCAGAGGTCTCTGCTCAGTTTGGCACTGGACCCACCCCGACGGGGGCCGCGGGGACGACGCTCCCGCCGTCTTTGGCCTTCCAGAAAGTTCCCTGGAAAAGCCAGACCGCAGAGGTCACAGGGAGAGAGCAGCTGAGGAGGGGGAAGCGGGCAACGGGCACTTCCGGGGCCCGGATCTCGGCCCCCGACCCTACGCCGGGCGCGCGGAGCAGGGAGTGGCCGCCCTTCCCTTCGGGCGGGAATGGAGCCTGGGCCCGAGCCCGCCGGACTCTTCTCCCGCCGCCCCTAGCTCGCAGCTTTCCCCCGCGCGATCCCGACTCACGACAGGGCAGGGGGCGGGGCTCTGACCGTGGCCCCACCCCCAGCGGCTGCTGGGGGCCTCGCCCAGGGCGCCCCCAGCACCCGCTCCGCCTCCCGTGCAGACCCGGGGCTGTGTTCCCTCCACTAGCCCCGGGAGGGGGGAAACGCTCCCTATGGAACGCAGACCGCTGGCGTCTCGAGGTTGTCCACGGCAGCAGGGGAGCGGCCACAGAAGGGACCTGAACCTCGCGCGTCCCGGATGCGCTTTCCGCCTCACTCCGTGGCAGCCCAGACGGCAAAAGATGAACGTTTTATTTTATTTAGTGAAACACTCTTTTGTAAGTGCATCTTTAGTGAGGACGTCCTGAGTATTTCTGCGGATAGGGAGGCCAGCCAAAAGGAGCTGACTGCCCTCCCCCGGGGCCAGCTCCCTCCGCCTTTCCCCAACTCGGTCGAGCCTCCTGGCCTCCCTCCCACAGCCCGCCAGCCAATCACTCTTCCAGGGCCCGGCCAAAGTCCCAACTTGCCCAAGAGCTGAGCCTCTTGGGGAGAGGCTGGGTTGGGAGAGGAGTCAGGTGACTCAGAGGGTGGGAAGGGCAGAAGCTGAGACCCGGTAGCTCTGCCCCTGGATCACCCGCCCACCCCGAACTGGGGACTTGCTCCACAAGGGCAGTCTCCCCAGGGAGCCTGAGGCGGTCGAGGGGGACGGGAGGGACAGTCCCTGTGGAGCTGCAGAAAGAGAAGGGTCTTAGAGAGGGGTGTCAAGGCGAACACTATTTGGGGCGGGAAGCGGGGTGAGAGCGGGGATTAATGCTGCTCTACTAAACCCTAGGAAGGCTCGGCACAGCAGAACACAGGGCTCATAGCCTCCTGTTGGCTGCAGACTCCTCCATCGAGAGTCATCTCTTCTGAGTCCGAAACTGTCGGAAGAGCCACTGGACGATGAAGGGCCACAGGAGGAAGAAGATCAGCGTGGGGCCGGAAAGCCTGAGGGGCCAAGGCCTGGCACTGGGTGGGGGCATCTGCTGCCAAGAGGAGAGAGTCAGGCACCAGCCCAGGCCTCAGCTCAGGCTAGGCCCTCCTTAGGGACCTGCTTCCAGAACTCAAGTGGGAGCTGCTACCTCCCTCTCCCCAGTCTGAAGATTGGGGCTCCCAGTTTGTCCCTGAAACATTGAGCCCCAACTGCCTCCCCTATCTTCCTACCAGGGCAATTCAAGGTGCCAAAAAGAGTGGAGGAACTGACTCGGAGGTCATCTCCTCTGGGCCACAAAGCCTGAAAGGGCCTCAAGACCCCATATCGTAAAGGGTGTGCCACATTTCCAATGAAGACCCAGGGTGTTCAGATTTTAGTTTCTAAATCCCATTATCTGTTGAAAGGAAGCAAGGCTCCTTGGAGAAGTGGCAGATTTCAGGTCTGGAGCAGGGAAGGTGGAATTAAATGTGGGATGTCTTATACCAGGAAGTAAGGAAGCTGTTAAGGATTAATGAGATTATATTACAAGAACATAGGACCCAGCTAGAAAGGGAGGGTCTTACCAAAACTGTGACAGTCTGGGCATCAGAAAGAATGATTGCAGTTGACTGAAATACTGAGTCTTTAAAGTCCATAAATTCATAAAAGAGTAAGTTGGAAATTTATCACCATTGAGGTGGCTGTTAAATCAACTCCTTACTTTAAAAATAGATAATTAAAGAGAAAGAATTAGGCACTTATTCTGTCCTGCCATAAGTCACCATATTTCAGGGAAATCCTAGATGGTCAGGGAAACTCTACAGAAAAATGCCGGCTAATAAATGTTAAAGAATCATAGAAAAGTCCACATTTTTTAAACCATTAACTAAATTATTGATCCAAGCAAGGATTATCTATCACTTATCAAAAGCTGTGTGTCAAATAGGGCTGACAGGGAACTGGGACATTCCCTGGCTCCAAGTGGTGGAATCAGACTGTCACCCCTTCATCCCTGCTGTGATCCTCACTAGGAATATTCATGGTAGGACATCCAGTTTTGTGTCTTTTGATGTGAAGAAAGAATATCACCTCTGATGTAATCTGGTCATGTAATCTAGCCACGGGGCTGTTGTGAGACTCCAGAAGTATTACAGTCTACAGGACTACTGTCCAGTCTCATCAGCAAGTCAGTAGCAAGAAAGAGGGACTTGTCTAGACTAACAGAGTCTTAAGGACAGAGGCTCCTGGCCTGGACAGACAGGGAAGCTGGAAAAGGCAATTTGAATCTGGACTGTGTATTTGACTGTTGGCTCAGATGGTAAAGTGTCTGCCTACAATGCAGGACACCTGGGTTCGACCCCTGGGTCGGGAAGATCTCCTGGAGAAGGAAATGGCAACCCACTCCAGTATTCTTGCCTGGAAAATCCCATGGATGGAGGAGCCTGGCAGGGTACAGTCCGTGGGGTCGCAAAGAGTTGGACACGACTGAGCAACTTCATTTTGTGTTTTTGATGATACGAAGGAATTGTGGTGTGCGATAAAATGTTTTTGCTAGGTAGTAGAGTGTTCTTATTTTCAGAGATGTAAATCCAGGTATCTCAGGGTGGAAATATTCAGCATATAAAATTAGTAAAAGGTAAACAAAAAATATTAGTAAAACCTCAGCGAGGCAGGGGTGAGTGTTGAAATGTTAGCCACTGTGGATCTGAGGAAATTCCTATGAATTCCTCTGTGCCAAGGGGACAAAGGATCACCTGAAGATTCCTCCATATCCAGGACTTTAGCCATCCCCTGCCCCCACAGCTCCAGGCTTCACAAGAACAGACTCATTCATAGTTAATGGTGGATGCCAGCTTTGGAGGGAGATACAAGTGGGACCACTCCCAGCTCCATCACTTAATAATAATGCTAATAGTAACAATGAGCCCCATTTGGAAGCACCTACATGCATTATCTCATCGAATCCTCACAGCAGCTCTGTGGGGTTCTTCCAGGCTGTGTGAGTTGCTTCCAGGCCCTGAGGTAAGTTATTCAACCTCTCAGAGCTTTAGTTTCCTCATTTGTAAAAGGGGAATGAAAAGAAAACCTGTTTCATTGGTGTGTGTGTGTGTGTGTGTGGTGTGTGGTGTGTGTGTGGGGGGTGTGTGTGTGTATGGTGTGTGTGTGTGTGGGGTGTGTGTGTGTGTGTGTGTGGTGTNGTGTGGTGTATGTGTGTGTAGTGTGTGTATGTTGTGTGGTGTGGTGTGGTGTGTGTGTGTGTGTGTGTGTGTGTGTACAGTGAGGTAATGCAGGTAACAAGTTTGGTGCACAGCGGGGCTCCAGAAATGGCTGCTCTTATTTATTTTGCAGAAGCAGAGGTGTCAGGGGCAAGCAGATCTGCGAGTCGGGAGGAGGGAGTGAGGGGTGCAAGGGCTGAATGTGAGGTGAGGGGAAGACAGTAAGTCTGGGAACAGAAGTCCTGATGGAGGGGCAATAGGGACCTCCTCCCAGCCCCAATGCAAAGAGCAGACAGGTTCTAGCCCCTCCAACTGTTGGAATACCCTCTGTCCTCAGTTTCCCTTCTGGCACGGGGTGGGTGTAAGAGCAGGAAAGGAGGTCTTTTCCCACTCTCCCTTCCAGGTTGGAAGCACTTTAGACCCCCTGACTTCTTGGCCTGACCCATAAGCCACACCATTCTCTGGAGAAGGCAGAATTGTGGGCAGGTAGAGATGGGGGGACAAAGACAGAAGTGGCTGGCCGAGGAGTCCAGCATAGAGACCCTCAAAATTCTGCCCCAATCTTGCCCTGGACCTTCGGAGGGGGCTCACCTGCTCGGGGGGCACAGGCACGCTCTCCAGGCTCTGCAGCCTCCCCTGGACGTCCCGCATGCTCTCCTGCAGCGCACGGACCGTCCCCACCAGCCACGAGTCCAATTCCTGGGGCCCCAGCAGAGGGCCTTCCAATCTCCCTGCAGAGTACAGACGCACAGGGAGGGGATGCAGGAAGCAACTCAGCTCGGCGCAGGGTGGAGGCAGGCTGGGGCAGGCCGGGGAGGAGTCAGTAGAATGCCATCCCTTGTGCCCAGTATGAGTCTTACAAAGTCCATGCATACAGCTAATGGACTGCCAGGGGTTCGAACCCCAGCACTACCACTTAGCTCTGTGGCTCTGGGCAAGTCAGTAACTTCTCTAAGCCTTGTCTGTCATCTGAAAATCATGTCCTCTCCCTCACAGGGCTGCTCGTTCTGAAGAATGAAGGAGATAATATTTATGAAAGTGCCTCTAACGGGACGCGGCACACTGGAAGTTCTAGGAAGAGATAAGGCAGAACTCAGCTCGTCGTCCTTGGAGAGTCCCAAATGAGAGACCCCGAGAGAGAGGATGACTCCCAAGGCCACGCAGGTGTAGATGAGGGAACTGGTCTAGGAGTTCTACCCCAGCTGCCCTGACTCAGTGCCAGCCAAGGGCACGGAGACTCCTGGTGGCCCTTGGAGAAGAAGCCAGGCAGGGACTTTGTTCCTCCAGGCCAGTGTCTGGCTTTTGGCAACCCTTCCCAGGCAGAGGCTGCGCTCTCTAGTGCCCAGCGCTGGACTTTCACCTCTGCCCATGAAGGCAGCCAGGGGAAGGCCCCAGGCACTGGAACCATGGGGCAAAGGGTCAGATAGAGGCTCACCTCTCTCTGCAGGAGGCTCGGGGCTGTTTCTGGTGTCAATTTCTCCTCCCACGGCGCCCCTTTGCTCTTCCCCAACCTGCAGAGAAGAGTCACAAGGTCCACGGAGGGGAGGGTGGTGGTGGGAGCAGCCAGGGCCCAGTGGGGTGGGGAGAGGGAGGGGATGGGAGTGGGTCTCACCAGCTCAGGCTCCAGCTGCTCCACAGAATCACAGAAAACCTCAGAGTCCTGGTCCCTGGGTGGCTGGGACTCTGAGGAGGAGGGAAGTAGGGCGAGTGGCAGGAGGGAAGCCATGGAAGGAGGGGAAGGGTGTGCATCTGGGCAGAGGCACCTGTTCAGGGGACCCTCAAGATGCTACCACAAGAGGCACCGATGGGTCCCTGAGAGGACAGGGATCCCAGAACCTGCCTCTGGCCTTTGGGAGCACAGGGGTCTCAGTGTCTGTGGGCATGAGGTGTGACAGGCACAGCGCGGCATCTAGCCTGCTCCCCTCCACGCTGCCTCCCACCTCTGGCCTGGCCCTCTGCCCTTCCCACCCAGACACTAACCTGGGCTTGGGGGTGCTGGTTCCTTGGGGAGGCAGCGAGGCTCTGGGGCGGCCTCAGCATCTCCATTCAGTACCTGCTCTTTCCAACCTGTGGAGACACAGCACCCAGAGGTGGGGCTGGGAAGAGATCAGGCCCCTGCTCCCCTTCCCCATTTAGCCAGGGACTCTGTCTGAGACCCACCCCAACGGGGCACTACCTGGGGTCCTTACAGAAACATCTCTAGAGCCCCCTGCCTCCAGGCTCCCCTCCAGTTGAGCAGCCCCCTAAGACAGTTCCATCAATCTTTGTGGAGCTCCCAGCCTGGGGGCCTGACCTGTGACCCTTCTCAGGAACGTCTCTGGGGGCCTCGGCATGTCAGGGATCACCTGATACAGGGGCTCGAAGTAACCAAACACGTCCTCTGCCACCTCGCCCAGAGGCACTGTGTCGATCACCTGTGCGGGAGGGGGTCTAATGGGGAAAAGCTGGCCCCTCCCACCACTGCCCTCCTACCCCCTTGAGCTGGGCCACCCCCGCCCTGCTGCTGCCATCATATCCCTCCACCTTGTGCCCAGTCAGGGACCAGAGCCAAGCAGGGGCAGGGGAACAACATGAAGGTGGAATTCCATAGATGTATCAGTGTGCAGGAAACATAATGGGGGAAGGGGGCGCAGGTCACCTGGCTGAGAGCTTGGGCACAGGGAGGAGCCTGCAGCCTCTCCCTACCTTCTGTGCCACCAGCTTCATCTCGGTAATGTAGGCGGACATGGCCTCCTCCCTGCTCATCTGGCCCAGGCTGTTCCAGGCTTCCCTGGGGATGGGGGTGGGGGGGGCGTGGAGGGCTGTGAAAGGCTGATTGACAGCTGAGGCTTGTTTGCCCAGCTGATGGGAAGCTCACCATTTGTAACGTCCGATAGGGTCCCAGAACCCAGGCTGGGGGATGAGGCAGGGCCCCATGGTGGCCTGCTTGTAGTAGCTGTAGAACCGCAGCATCTCTTCATAGGAGGGGCGGTAGGAGCCTGGGCAGGAGTTGAGAAGCGGAGGAGGACAGTATCACTCCCAGCTCCAGGAGGACAGAGGCGGGAGAACCACCCTTGGAGGGGTGGTGAAGGGTCTCCCCTGGTGGGGGCAGAGATGGTCAAGGGTCTCACTCAGGAAAGATAGACAGGGGCAGGTGGCAGAGGGGAACCCCAGGACAACACATGCAGGGGCTTGTCTGCAAAAGCTGCCAGGATCAGAAGCTGCCTGGGAAGCAGACCCTGGTCCTCTGGTCCCCAAATGTGGGTCCCCGTGACCTCACCGTCCTTAGGCAGGTTCTGAATGACGCTGACGGCGGCCTGGAACTGTTTCTGACAGTCCGGTTCCGGACTTTCATTTTCGGTACCCATCTCCAGCCCTGGGGCCCTACTTATGGGCGACTCTGCAAGAACGAGGCTGTGGGTGAGCAGTTTCCAGGTTCCTCCACCCCCCCTCCCTGGCACACGCCTCTGTAAGCCACTGGTCCATTTCCAGAGGGGCAAACTAAGCTCTTTAGAGGCCTGAGTGAGAAGCCCCGGGAGGTCAGAAGCTGCGACTGAAGAGGCTCCTTTTCCTACCCCAAGGCAGCGTGGGTGTGACCAGGGTGGCAGAGAGAGCCTCGGTGTGTGGGTCAGGTGGCAAGGGTCGCGGTGTCTCTAGATGCACATCTTCAACTCCTAGACAGGCGAACCGGCAAGCCAAGAGGAGTCAGGGTGGGGCGAGCAGTCTCCCACCCCAGCCTCCCATACCCCGGCTCAGCCTCTCGGCGCCCGGCACTCACCCTCAGGGCCCACTGCCCGGACACCTAGGTTCCCTCTCGTCACTAGTCGGAGGCTTCTTACCGACCTCCGGGCAGGGATGGGGACGCGAGGCAAGAGGGAAAATTTACGCCAATCAGAGAACCCGTTGCAAATCTCTTCTATACTATAACCACTCAGCGCGGCCCTTTCAAGATTATGCAAATAGTTTAGTGGTGCCTCTTCAGATCAGGCGGGGCGAATCCGCGGGTTGGCTCCCCAATCCCGGACGGCCCCCCAATCCCGGACGGCCAGAGGCGGGAGAAAGCGCCCCCTGGTGGACGTCGTGAAATAAGCTGTCTCTTGCGCCCCCTGGTGGAAACCGCGTAGTCAGCTGAACCCAGGCCCCGCAGATTCGAGTCACTCTGTTAAGCCCTTCACTTACCAGACCGTGGGGATAAAACGGCAATCAGGTCTTGAGATCAAGGGTTCTGCAGATGGGACATTGGAGCAGAGTTTTGGAAGGCTTAAGAGTAAGCCAGGAGAAGAACGAGGAAGGTCATTCCTGGAGGGAGGAATTGCAAAATCGAAAGTACAGAGGTATCCAGAGAGGATATTCTTGGAGACGCAAGCCAGTATGGACTCAATCTCCAGGTCAGGGCTACCTGAAAATGGAGTAAAGCAGTAGGTAGCAAATCGAAGTCCTGATAAACTTTTATCTTTGGGATGCCATGCTCCCGGCCGCCGCCGAGTGGCGGTGTGCACCCAGCTCTCCGCCCCCGACCCAGGTCACTTGCTGCAGAAGAGGCAGATCACATCACACCCCTTGCGCACAAATACGCTGGTGGTTTCTTATGTAGTAAGCGCACGCATGACACGGTCACCAGAACCCGTACTCGACGCTCACCCACACGTTGATGTCAAGGACATCCACGCGACGTGCGGTGGCCGTCCCGGGACGATCAAACGCCCGGTGGGGGCTATCAACCGACCCAAGCGTCCACTCCCAGGTTCTGCAGGGGACTCATCCCCGGCAGAACCAGTCAGCTTCGAGTCTTCTACCCCTTTGGGGGCGGCAACTGGCCGGGCGCTGAGAGGGTTAATCCTGTGACGTCATAGCCAGAGCCTTCCTCCTTCCCTGCCTTCAGTCAGTTCCCGCCCCCCCTTAACCCTCTGGTTCGGGCTTCCCTGCCTCTCCGCTCAGCTCCAAGACCCAGGACTAGCCGGCCGCGGACCCGATTCCCTGTCTGGCTCCCTTCTGAGACCTCGGGCAGGACGGGGAGGGGGAGGTGAAAGGGGTCCTGAGTCTGCACTGAGCCCAGGTCCGGGGAAGGAAGAGGGTGTCTTCGCGAGACGGCAGTCCTCGCCCCCCTTCGAAGCCTCCCCCAGCACCATGGGGGCTCCGCATAGGGCCGGGATCCCAGGAGCGCTCGGAGAACAGGGAGAAGGACTCAGGAGCAGAGGGCGAACGCGGAGACTCGGGGGCGCGGGCCAGGTCGCCTTCCTACTTGTGCACCAGTGCCCCGCTCCCAGCCGAGGGTCACCGCCCCCCTTGCCGCCGCCTCGCGCCGCCCCCGCGCCGTTCTCGGCCCCGCCCTCTCCCTCTAGGTCCCTCCTTCCTTGATCCTCGTCCCTCCCTTTCTCCCTCCTCCCGACACCTCCTCCTCCAGACTCGCTCCCGGCGCCGCTAAGTTTCTCCGCTCCGCACCGCGCGCGCTGACCCCGGGCCCGACCTGGGCCCCGGCCCCCCGACCATGCTGTGCGGTAGTTGGAGGAGCCGCGGGCGGCAGCCCGAGGAGCCCCTGGTCCCGGCCCAGGTCGCAACGCCCGTAGGGCACTCGTCCCCACCCGCATCCCAAGACGCCAGCACCAAGAGGCCCGGGCTGCGGGCGCTGAAGAAGATGGGTCAGTGAACGGCCGGGGTGGCTCCGGGTGGGCGCGGAGGCGCCCCGGGGGGCGCATCTTGGGAAGATCGGGGTGTTCCGGCGAGCCGTTCGTGGGCTTCCCAGTAGGGATGTGGGGAGTTTGGCGAGGGATGGAAGGCCAGCGCAGTTCCAGCGGGGGACGGGGTGGAGTGTCACACCTGGGGTCACCCGAGGTCCCGGGTGTGAGCGAGGCTCCCAGGACGACTTCTGGGAGTATGGAGTGGGAGTTTGGACGAGGGCTGCGGACTGGGGTCCGAGAAGGTTGGGGGAGTAGAAAGGGAGAGACAGGCTTCGGATGCCCGTCACCCCTTCCCGGACACCCTGTACCTTCTAGGGTTTTTGAGCGCTCAGAGCATCCTGGATTCTTGGGCCCCTTAGGGCATGAGAGTTGTAGAAGAGACTGGCATCTCATGCCGATCTTCCAACCCTACAGCCCCCACTGGGATTAGAGCACCGGTAGAACTGGTCTAACTGGTGAGAACACTGACCTTTGGGTCAGAAAGCCAAAGTTGCCGTCTTAGATTTGAGGGAAGTCGTGGGGGAACGGAATGCAATTGTGGTTTATCAAGCATCTCCTAGATGCAGGCCAGCACTGGGTGGCTAGGGATGTGGTGCCGGTCAGTCTTCTTCACCTTCCTGAGAGGTAGGTGGTATTCACAGATGAGGTATTCACCATTTCACAGATGAGGAAGAGAAAGTAAGGAATTTGCCCATGACCATAGATCTAGGAGAGGGCAAAGGTTGGCGTGTACCCCCACACTGCCCCTGGTACCCTCTCAGAATCTGGGCAAAGTGGGACTGAGTGGGGGTTGAGGGCTTGAATGAGGGGGCGTGTGTGTGAAAGTTATTGTTTAGTATTTATTTTTATTTATCTTATTATTTATTTGGCAGCACCAAGCCTTAGTTTGTGGCACACAGGCGCTTTAGTTGTGGTGTGTGAAATCTTTAGTTGTGACACATAGGATCTAGTTCTCTGACCAGAGATCAAACCCTGGCCCCTACAAAGGGGCCAGAGTCTTACAGAGTCTTACCACTGGACCACCAGGGACATCCCTCTGAGAGTATTTTATACAATGTAAAGTACTGTAAAACTGAAGTGGTGTAGGAGAACTATGGTCAGTAGAATAGTTAATGATGGAGAGGCTAGAGGTGGGACTGAGGGAATAGAAGGACAGGGTTGCCTAAAGACCTGTGTGAATCTTGGGGTAAAATGCAGAGGTCTCACTTGCCAGTCTTACCTTCTCTTACAGCCACAGGGCATGTAAGATCTAGTTCCCAAACCAGGAGTTGAACCCATGTGCCTTGCATTGGAAGTGTGGAGTCTTAACCAATGGCCCACCAGGGCAGTCCTTCTGGTCTTACTTTCTCTGTCCTCCATTGTTTTTGTTCTTATTTCTACCGCCTTTCATTTGACCTGAATTTGTTGAGCGCTGCGTTCTGATCACTGTGACTGGCACTCTCCTTATAAACACAGAAGACGTGCTCTCTGCCCTTCGCTTCATCAATTACACATGCATTCAACCAACATTTATTGAGTGCCTGTAGTATGCTCTGCCCTAGGGATTCAGCAACAAACAAGACAGACACAGCCCTGGCCCTCAGAGAGCTGAAGCACCAGCAAGGGTGTCAGACAACGAAACCAAGAAACAAGGCTCTGAAGGATAGAGCAAGAGGCTGGGAGCCCTGACTGCACCCCGGAGCTGGAGGGAGGCTAGAGTGAGGCCAAAGGGGAGAGGCAGGGGGAGGCTGGATCCTCGAGGTCCCTCTTTCTCTGGAGGGTGTCAGGAGCTCAGGAAAGGTCTTAGACAAGAAGAGAGCAGGAACTGTGTAGGGTAAGGGTGGGTTGGATGAACACAAGGGTAAAACAGGGAGCCGCACTGGAGGGAGGCTGAGGGGTCAGTTGGGCAAAGTGGTGGGGGGAGGCTCAGATGTGAGCTGTGGAGCCAGAACGGATTCCAGGACGACGAGGAGGTGGACTGAGCTGGGCTCTGCTGTTGACGGGATCTGGGAGATGTCTCTCGTCGTCCTCTGGTTTACAGGGCAGTGGTGGAGAGGACGATGCTCATGGGGAGCTGAGGTGCTGCGGAGACAACCAAGGGCTGGCGTTAGGCCTGAGAAGCAGTCCCTGGAGTCAGCCGCCCTCGAGGGTTATGTTTGCCATGGGAGGGTCGAGGTGACGATCCTGCCCACCTGCCTGTCTCCTCATTCAGCACACATTTGCCAAGCCCCGTGGCTCAGATCCTAAGGATCTGCTTGCAATGCATGAGACCCAGTTTCAATCCCTGTGTTGGGAAGATCCTCTGAAGAAGGAAATGGCAACCCACTCCAGTATTCTGACCTGGAAAGTCCCCTGGATGGAGGAGCCTGGCAGGCTACAGTCCATGAGGTCGCAAAGAGTTGGACACAACTGAGTGTCTTCACATCGGGGTGCCAGGGTGTTGTGCCAGGGCTGGGGCTTCAGAGATGGAGAATACCTAGCCCTGGGGGAGAGGACAGTCTAGGAAACACTTGTAGACAAGTAATTAGCGCTGAGCCCAAGACTCAGTGCCCTGTGGCTGAGTAAGGCTGCACGGGAGCTCCGGGCACCCTGTGGACAGTGACACTGTTGGGAACTATGTGGGTGTCAGAATGTCACCTGGGCACCCTCCCTCGCCTTGGCTGCTGCACCATCCTGTTGAGTGACTGCCTTCTCAGAGAGGAATGTCAACTCCATGGGGAATGCCCCTTCCCCAGGCCTCGCTGAGTCCAGGAACAGGGTGGAGGCGAAACCCAGGTGTCCTGGGGCACAGCTGCTCAGGCCCACAAGGCCAAGGCCTATGTCAACCACCCACATAGCTTTCAATGTGACCCCTGTGGCTGCTGCCTCTCCCAGAATGATCCTCAGGGCCAGGCCTGGTCACCACCTTCGTCATACCCCTTGGTGGTGGTTGAGTCGCTCAGTTGTGTCCGACTCTTGTGACATCATGGACTGTAGCCCATTCGGAGCCTCTGTCCATGGAATTTCCAGGGCAGAAATATTGGAGTGGTTCGCCATTTTCTTCTCCAGGGTATCTTCATGACTCAGGGATAAAACCTGGGTCTCCTGCATCATAGGCGGTCTCTTGACTGCGGTAGATTCTTTATCAACTGAGCCACCAGGGAAGCCCCACCCCTTAGTCCAACAGAACAGATTTTCTTTCAAATCCGGTCAAGAGGCCAGGGCAGGGAGTGGCTCAGAGTCAAAGGCTCAGAGGGGCTCAAGGAAAAGGAAGGGCTTGGAGGGCCATACTGGGAGGAACTAAGATGAAGGGGGAGGGAGGCAGCCCCCATGTTGAGTGGGAGTCATTTGTGGAGCATGGGGTCCAGCCTGCTCCAGCCCCCTGCCCCTGGGCTGGGCTGCTGGCCCAACCTGTTCCTGGGAAGCCAGGGAAGAGCTGAGCCAAAGAGGAGACGGGAGCACCGTGCAGTGCTGAGCACACAGCAGCCCTGATCCTGTTTAATCCTCTCCATCCCGGGGAAGGTGCTGAGCTGTCCCCATGTGACATGAGAGGCTCGAGGTGGAGGGGGAGTGCTTTTCACATACTAGCTCATTTAATGTCACAACCATATGAAGTAGGTGTAACCATTAGCTTCATTGTATTTTATTTTAAAGTGTTTATTTATTTGCACCAGGTCTTAGTTGTGGCATGCGGGATCTTTAGTTGTGCCATGAGACCTCTTAGCTGTGCCATGTGGGGTCTAGTTCCCTGACCAGGGATCAAACCTGCACCCCCTGCATTGGAAGCACAAAGTCTTAGCCACTGGACCACTGGGGAAATCCCTAACCTCATTTTTCAAGTGAGAAATCTGAGATTTAGAGAGGTTCAGTAAGTTGGCCCAGGATTCAAAGCTCGGAAGTATTTATAGCTAAGAGAGGATTTGAGGATTTGAACCCAGGAAGTCTGCCCAGAGTCCCAGCTCCTAACACAATGAATGGATGAGTGATTTAAGCCTGGTGGGGAGGGACCTGCTACACCTCTCCCCCATATTGGCTCTGCTAACCTCCAGGGGGTGTCCTCATAGGGCTGCCCCCCAAAATACAGGATGCCCAGTTAAATGCACTTTTCAGATAAACCACACATAATTTGGGACATACTGATACTAAATTATTATTTGTTGTTATCTGAAATCCCCATTTAACTGGGCATACGGAGTTTTGCCTGGCAGCCCTACCACCCCAGAGCCCCAGTTGCTCCACCCCCATGCCTAATCCCCCGGAGCAGAGCACTGAGTGGGCAGAAGTTGCTCCCTTCCCTCCCCAGTCTGCAAACACCACCAAATGCCACAGGGCAAGCGTGCTGTCCCCGCGGTCTGCCCAGAACATGTCCTGCAGGGTGAGTGGGGCTCCCAGGGGCAAGGTTGGCAGCTGGTGGGGGGTCTTCCGAGAAGCCCCTGGTCCAGGCAGATGCCTGGCCTGGGTGGTGGGGAGGGCTGGGGTGTGCCAGGCAGGGCTGAGGGGCTGGCTCTTTCCTGCACTGTGGCCCCCTCACCTCTTCTCCTTCTTCAGCTCTGGGGAGCCCCTCTCTCCCATCTCAGCCCCCAAACAGCCTTCACCCCTGGTCTGGCTGAGAAAGGTGAT